TATTAAGGACACTAAATGAGAAACCGAGATTTCAGTGGCCTGCAGACATTTCTATGCTATCTTGCTGCCAATGTTAAGGTTACAAATATAGGACACTTTCACTGAGGATTTTCTTAACCTGGGGTACAAATAACAACTTATTGCTGCTGGCTCCTCCAGACATCACATTGGAGACAAGAAACAAGACAAGCAATGGTTTGCTCTAATGACTCCTTAGGGAGGAAGAAGAATGTCTAAATTTAGAAATAAAGCCTACTGTGTTGGGAATATGGCCCTCACAAATACAGGTGATGTTACCCTTGGGTGTCATCACCTAAGGAATACTTTGTGTCCATTTATGGCAGAAATATATATACACATTTGTTCCAGGGGTTGAACCTAGGGGCACTTAATCACTGAGCCACATCACTAGCCCTTTTTTTTTTTTAAAATTTATTTTGGGACAGGGTCTCACTAAGTCACTGAGGCTGGCTTTGAACTTGCTAACCTCCTGCCTGAGCCTCCCAAGCCACTAGAATTACAGACATGCACCACCATGCCTGTAGGCAGTCATATATTCTTTTTTTTTTTAAAGAAAGAGTGAGAGAGAGAGAGAATTTTTAATATTTATTGTTTAGTATTTGGCGGACACAACATCTTTGTTTGTATGTGGTGCTGAGGATCGAACCCGGGCTGCACACATGCCAGGTGAGCGTGCTACCGCTTGAGCCACATCCCCAGGCCCCAGTCATATATTCTTGAGGTTTCTTATTCTTTATATACACCTGATGTACARATTGATGTGGTACACATGCCCAGGTAAGCGCACTATGCAGGCTGCTTTACCAACAGAAGATCGTACAGCAACCTGTATTCTGCCTCATGGAACTGATTTGACATCATTAATCATAGGGTAGCAACAAGTGACCTATTCCTGGAAAGAGTAATGGAAGTTGCACATTAAGCCAGTCAGACTGATGGTTGGGTCTGCTCAGAACTCCCTGTGACTGCAGCACAAGGTCTTCCCTGGGTAGTCCAATCTGCAAATGAAATGGAATGGACTTAAATAAAATAGAATTGGATTAAAACAAGATCTTTTGCCTTAACCCAAATGTCTAAACCAATTAATGCTATATTTTTGAATTTTTTTGTTAGCATTGTTATTTTTTATTTGTTCTAATTAGTTACACATGAGAGTAGAATGCACTTCGACACATCATATATAAAAGGGGTATAACTTCTCCTTCTTCTGGGTGTACATGATGTAGAATCACATCATTCATGTAATCATATACGTACATAGGGTAATAATGTCTGATTCATTCTATTATGCTTCCTACCCCCATGTCCCCTCCCCTCCCTTCATTCCCCTCTGCCTAATGCAAAGTACCTCTATTTTTCCATAGCCCCCCTTGTTGTGAATTAGCATCCGCATATCAGAGAATACATTCAGCCTTTGGTTTTTTGGTATTGGCTTATTTCACTTTACATGGCATTCTCCAGCTCCTTCCACTTACCTGCAAATGCTATAATTTCATTCTTCTTTCAGGCTAATATTCCACTGTGTATATGTACCACATTCTCTTTATCCATGCATCTGTTAAAGGGCATCTAGGATGGTTCCATAGTTTGATTATTGTGAATCGAGCTGCTATAAACAATTTTGTGGCTGTATCTCTGTAATATGCTAATTTTAAGTCCTTTGGGTATAAGCTAAGGAGTGGAGTAGCTGGGTCAAATGGTGGTTCCATTCCAAATTTTCTGAGGAATCTCCATATTGTTTTCCATAATGATTGCACCAATTTGCAGTCCTACCAGCAATGTATGAGTGTACCTTTTCCCCACCTCCTCACCAACATTTTTYTTAATTGCCTTAGCATGCTTGCTAATAATAAGTTCTTGCTCTTTATACTGCTGTTGTGGAGTATGGATGTGCTTCCAGAGCCCTGTCCTGAGGGCCTTGCAGAACACATGCTATGGTCTGAGATTGTGWGGGACATGAAGAGGCTTCCAAGACACTGAAGGGGTGGAGAGTTGAGTCAAACACTAATCAGTGCCTAGGAAAATTTGTAGTGAGGTAAGAATATCTCTAAAAGAAGGTGATGATGAGGGAAATGGAGAGGGGTAGCTGGACACTCCCCTTATTGCCAATCTTTAGGAGAGGATCTAAACAGAGCGACCCTGGTTAAAAAGTAAAGAAATAAAGGAATGCACCCATAAACATCTGCAGACAGTTGGGGGGGGGTGATACACAAAATTTTTTTTAAGAAGAGCAAATATATAGGATCCATATGATCATTCCAATGTTGCTGCTCAGCATTTCTGCTCCCTCAGTGCAGGGATTTCTTGTCCAAAATAAACCCAAATCTATAAAAAGACAAACAATCAAAACACACACACACACATACAAGAAACAAAACAAAACCACCTTTGGCATGCTTTGATGAAAGCAGTCAAAACTGCAATAAAAGAATGACTGCACAATGGCACACACCTATAATCCCAGTATCATGAGGCAGGTGGATTGCAAGTTTGAGTCCAGCCTGAGCAATAAAATATTGCCTGAGAAAGCAAAACATGCATCAAACTTCCCTCCCCTGCAATAAGAAAAGCTAACAGCTTTTCCTCACCTCTCCCTCATGGGACCCCCAAGCATTCCAACACAGGCTTGGTCCTGAAAGGAAGTTCTAGTCCTCACCCTAGATACACCCTGAATATCTCCCCTCAGAACACAGGGCACTTCACACAGATCAGAGAAGGTAGGGTTGAGCATCCTCTGTCAGTTGCCAGAGGTGTGCAGGACAGTGAGTGCTGTTTGGCCATGGTCATTAGTCCCCTCATCAACAATTCCAGTAAATCTGAAATTCAGTGTTCTGATTATTCCATGCCATCATTTGAAAATTCAAACTGAGATAGAGCCCAGCATCTTGTACCTTAATCAGAATGGATAAAGAAGCAAAGTAGTGGCCAACAGACAAAAATCAATTCATTTCCTATACATCAGCACCACATAAAAATAAATAAAGGTATTGTGTCCATCTAAAAAATATTAATAAAAATATTTAATAAAAAACTTTCAAAGTAATATACAGATGTTTAAAACACAACACTGAAAATTCCAAAACAGAAAAAATTCAACTTGACCTCGTATTTGGTATAGAGTTCTTGTTTATTTTGCAGTAATAGACATTGAAATATAGGTCCTAATGCATGCTAAGCAAGCACTCTGTGGCTAGGTTATACCCCTAGGCATTTTTTGTTGCTTTTGAGACAGATTTCAATTGCCYACACTGGTCTCAAATTTGAGATCCTCCTGACTCAGCCTCCTTAGCTGGTATTACAGGCATATAACATCATCTTTCATTAAATTAAAAACAACCTTCTCTGCATCAGTGTATTGTGGGGACCAAACCCAGGGGCTTACACATGCTAGGCACACATTCTACCAGTAAGCTACATCCCAGCCCTAAGAAAGGCAGTATGAGGGTCAGATATGTAGCTTAGTGGTGAGAGAGCTTGCTGAGCATAGGCAAGACCCTGAGTTCTATACCCAGCACTGAAAAATAATAATGACAACATCAAATACAGTGGGGGATGTGGAACAGGAACTCAAATTAATTGATGGTGGAATGTGTAATGGTTCAATTTTGAAACCAGTTTTGAGTTTTTTCCAAAATTAAATCTAACATCCTGATCCAGAAATTATACTCCCTGGTATTCACAAAATGGCTTTGAGGCCAGCCACATAGGTGCATACCTGTATTCCCAACAATTCCAGAGACTGAAACAATAGAATCACAAGTGTGAGGTCATCCTGGGCAACTTAGTGAAACTCTGTCCTAAAATAAAAATAAATGGCTAAGGAGGTAGCTTAGTACTAGAGTGACTCTGGAATCAATCTCCAGTACCATCAAGGGGGAAGAAAATTACTTTGTAAACATACAAATAGGCAGGTGTGACAGCTAATGCCTGTAATCCCAGAGACTTGGGAGACAGGCAGGATTGCAAGTTCCAGGTCAGCCTCAGCAACTTAAAGAAAACTTATCTCATGATAAAAAGGGTTGGGGATGCAGCTCAGTGGTAAAGCACCCCTGGGCTCAATCCCCAGGGCAAGAAAAACATGTACAAATAAAAACCAGTCTGCATTCTTATATAGCAGCTCTTTTAAAATGGCCAACCACTTTAATGAATCAACATGAACTGCAATAGCTGAAGCTGGGGCACATCCATCAATAGACCACTGTTCAGCAAGAGGCAGAAATGAACTCATATAAAAGATTTGGGTGAAGCTTACATGAATATGGCTGAGTCCAAGAAGCCAGAATGAGGAGGCTACACACTGTGTGGAGCCAATTAATAAGATGCTGGAAATGGCAAAACCAGAGAGATGGTAAACAGACTGGTTCTGACAGTGATGTGTAGTGGGAAGGGAGTGGGATGAGTAAGGAAATAGAATGATGGAAGGATATACAAAGGGACTGTGTATATTGTTTTATTTTTAAAAAATTACATAAAGACACTCATAGTGGTGCACATCTGTGCACTTAGGAGGCTGAGACAGGAGGATCATGAGTTCAAAGACAACCTCAGCAAAAGTGAGGCACTAAGCAACTCAGTGAGACCCTGTCTTTAAATAAAATACAGAATAGGGCTGGGGATGTGATTCAGTGGCTGAGTAACCCCAAGTTCAATCCCCAGAACCCCCCCAAATGACATTAATTACTTTACTAAAACGCATCTTTATTAGGTGAAGTATGTGGTATATGGGGTAGAGTGACTGCACAAACASGTCCTCACTGAACTGAGCTAAACTTCAGAAAACAGGCAGCTTCCCTACCAGCCCTGAAGCACCTAAACAAAACCCAACTCTAGCTCCCTGACCAAAAGGGCAAAGGGAAGAACTGGAGATATAGCTCAGTGGTAGAGTACTCCCTGAACCTGCATGAGACCCTCGGTTCACATCACCAGCAGAGAAAATAATTAATAAATAAATAATAAAAGTTTAAAAACCACAAAAGGGTAAAGGAAAACAGAAGGCAGCACGAGGATCTTTATTCAACAGCAGCTTAGAAGTGATGATGACTCTGTCTTCCAAGGATTTGCATTTCTCCTCATTCTACTGGTCTTCTTTCCCACATTTCTCACCTTTGCATATTGCACCCTGATATAAAAAAGGGCATCATCCTAAATATACTTATATACAACCTTTGCGGGCACAGTTTGGAGATGGAGTCGCACAGGACACTTGTAAAAGTGGGACAGCAGAGTCTCACTGTAGCCCACGAGGAAGTAGAACTTGTGTGCTGGCAGCTGCCTCAGGACCAGGGCACAGATCTCCACCTGGTTGGCCCGGCGCTTCAGGACCAGCTGGTCAGCCAGACAGCCTGGGAAGGTACCCAGCATGAACTTGCGTAGGAAAAAATCCTCCACCGTTCGCTCTGCAGCATGTTCTTCCCCATCCAGATTACCTGAAGAGAAGGCACCACAGCAGTCAGCCATATTGCCCAGGGAGCTGCCAAGAAGTCAGAWCCAATATCTAAGAGCTTTGGGCATTCAATCCCACTCCTTGCCACAGCCTATTCCCTTTTCTTCCACTAATGGAATAACACATTAAAAGTCAAAAATACATTATCTTATTAATTCCCAAACCAATTCTGTGAAGCAAGTACTATTATCCTCACTTTACTGGCACTATATAGGTATGAGCCACCTGGCTCCAGTCTTTCTTAAYAGCTTTAAAGAAGCACGGTTCATCCTGTGGGCCAGTCAAAAGTATTGGCATAAGTATGCCAATACTTTTCATAAGTATCGGCATACTTATGAAATTACGGACAGTAGCTTCTCAAGAACTTGGACCACAGCTTCCATAAATGGGTTCTCAGTATGGGCCCTGGAAGCTCCAAGCCCTTACAGTACATGTTGAATCTGCACACACATACCCAGGCCTCAAAACAAGAACAGGAACCTAAAAGAGTGGGAGACCAGAACCTGTATTTTATTTATTTTCATTGTGCTGGGAATTAAGCCCAAGAACATATAAGTTTTCTGAAAGGGTGTGGTGGCACCTGCCTGTAATTCCAGCAACTCAGGAGGCCCAGGCAGAAGGATCAAAGCCCTCTGGGCAAGTTAGTAAGACTCTGTCTTGAAACAAAAAATCAAAAGGGCGAGGGATGTAGCTCAGTGGTAGAGCGCCCCTGGGTTCAATCGCCAATACTCTAGCTTCATCCAAACATAAGTTGGTAACCCTCATATTGAACAAAATACAGTTGATTCTCATTATTTCACAGTAGTTATGTTCCATAATGTCACTGTGAACACTGAGCTAGTGAATTCTGAAACAATGCTTGTAGGAGGAATACACTATTAGATTTGTGCAAGCCTCTGATCAAAATATTTTCATTAATAGGTTAATACATAAGCTAGTTTCAGGTGCCCTTCTGTTTAAAAATACTTTAATATATATGGTTSATTAACATTTAACTTTCAGCCAAGAGCACTGTAACTTAGGCTTGAATAAAGCTTATCTAACACAACATTTTCTGTGTAAGGCACATCACAGTCTTGTGCTCAGAAGCACTAGACAGTAATTCAGGATCCTTTTAAACAGCAAAAACACAAACAAAAGGCACATTAATTTTTAAAATGTGTTGCTAGACTGTGATAAAGGGCACTTTTTACACTATGAAACTTGTGCTACCTCAATTGCAAAAAAACATAAGGGCATTGCTCTACTTGTGTCCCTAAMTAACTTGAAAGTGATAGGGCATTGATTTTGAGGTCACAAATTTTAGTCAGTATAAGAATACACACAAGTGCCAGGTATGGTGGTGCCCAACCCTGAAATCCCAGCAGCTGGGGAGGCTGAGACAGGAGGATCTCAGGTTCCAAGCCAGCCTCTGCAACTTAACGGGCTGTAAGTAACCTAGCAAGACCTTGACTCAAAATAAAAAATAAAAAGCTCTGTGTATGTGACCCAGTGGTTAAGTGCCCTGGTATGTACGTGTGTGTATGTACACACACACACACGAAGGAGAAGGAAAAAAAAGAAAACAAGAATTTACAGAATCTGTGAATAACAAGGATTGACTGTACATACTTGCAAAAAAAAAAAAAAATCGTGCTTCAGTGAAAAACTACATTATTTTGGGCATACTCTTCCCGGTTACAGATTCTATGGAGGCTTTACTCCTTTCATTGCCTCTGTTTTACATCTATGTAAATTACAAAAAAAAGAAAAAACAAAACTGACAGCAATGCAAAATCTTGTCTGAAGACATGCAAATAATTTCTGTTTAGTGGAGGCTCAACCAAGTTCCTGGGCCCATGGAAAAAGTTAGATTTATACTCATCTTCAACTTGATTTCAACAGCCAGATCTGTGTTTGCTTTTTGGGGGTCTCCTCTTAACTGGATTAACAGATTCCTGACACTGACCTCATTGACCAAGTTAAACTTGTTCCTCTAGCTCACATGACAGTTGGACTGAGCGCTCCTCCTCCGGGAGAGCTGGGGTCTCCAGTTGAAGTCCCCTCACCTGTGTGCAGCGAAAGCCAGCCCTTTCGGTGGGCGATGTAGTGTGGTGGGTGGGCCTCCTCGTAGGTCACGGGCTTGTCCCCCTTGCCCACGCGGACTCTGGCCGCCCGGTTCTAGAAGCAAAGGGCTCTTACTAAGCCGCCCCGCCCTAAGTCCCGCCCACTGAGCCCCGCACCCGTCCGGCTTTTCCGAGGCTCGGCTCTCACCCCGGGCCCGCCACCCACTCCCGGTTCCCGCTATCGTCCAGGTCCCACTCCCACCCGGCCTGGAGCGCTCACCTTGGCGCAGACTGCGGAGGTGTGCAGGGCACGCCAGGCGCCCGGAAGTTCCCTACTCCACGGCACCACCTGTGGGGAAGGGGCGTGAGACAGAAACCAAGATGCCACCCGGACCCTCCAGCCCGTACCGCCCACTCACCCGTGGCCACAGGGCCAGCGCGCACACGGACGCCGCCATCTTGCGCCGAGCAGGGCCCAGGACGTGCCACTGTGCTGCACGGGCAGGGGGGGACAGCGCGGACGAGACCAAATTGCGCGCGGGGGCGTGCCTTGGGTGGCGGGAGAGGCGGGGCGGCCTCCGCGGAGAGGAGCGCCACCTGGCGCCAGGTGCTGGTCTTTCGGGCTCACCCGGGTTACAGCCTCCTGGCCTTGATTGCTGGGTGTTAGATTTCTGATCCGGAAATTTGATGAAGCAAACGTGAGCTTTCGCCCTCCAAGAACTCGCGGTAGGGAAAGTGATGGCGTCCTGAAAATGGAGAAAGAGGAAACCCGCGCCGCCTCGCCTCCCGCCTCCATCTAGACTTCAGGACGTCCAGGTGCTAGAAATTAAACTGCGCKTTTCTCCAAAAGATCTTGTGGAATAAGCAGGGCGTGGGTGCTGGTGTATAGCTCAGTGGTAGAGCACCTGCTTAGCATGTGCAGGCCCTGCATTCAGTCCTCACACCGCAAGAAAACAAAACCTCCAAACTCTGGGCTTTTATCCACAAGGAAGAAACATGTTTTGGTCAAAACTGTGCCCAGTTCTTGAAGGATACAGAGGTTTGCCATTTATGATCATCTAATAGTGGCTACCCTAGGGGAGCGATTCTCCCCACCGCCTGCCACCACCGCCCAAGTACTGGGCATTGAACTTAGGCACTGTACCACTCAACTACATCCCAGCTTAAAAAAAAAAAAAAAAAAAAAAAAAATTAAAACAGGCTCTCACTGAGTTGCTAAGGCTGTCTTCTAACATGCCAACTTCCTGCCTCAGCCTCTTGAGTAGCTGACATTCCGGGCATGAGCCACTTGCCACCAGTAAGAAGGGAAATTTTTAAGAAGCAAGGAAATGTATGGGGATACCCCAGGGCCTTAATATTCACACCAGAGCGGTGCCAATTTAGTTGGTGTCCGGTAATTATTTAATGACAAAGGGGAAAATAGCAACACTTGGTATCTTATTTTAGAACTCACTACAGTAATGGAAAACACGTGGGCTCTTGTATAACAACCTTTGTACAGTCAAACTTCAGTATCATTATCTATCAAATGGCTTATTTTTTGCTAGTACTACTTCATAGAGCTATTAGGATCAAGAGGATATTTAATAAATGATAACTGTTTTGGTTGTGTTAGGTTGAATGGTGTGAAGTTGCCAGTATTTGGCTGTTTAGGACCTGCATCTTTCATCCTAATGATGCTAGTACCCTGTCAAGGGAGGGAAGACTAGGTGATCATGTGTAAAGAGGGAAATGGAAACCAAGGTGGGAAGTGAGTTGCCCACAGTCACACTGGGGCAAAGACAGAAAGTGAGCAAGACTGGAGTCTMTTGGCTTCAGTCCAGTTGATTTCCATGACCAAAATTCCTCTCTGGGATCTTGATTTTAAAAATCCTTAATAAAATGAAAGGGTCTTTCATCCTCACCTCCCTAGGAATGTTTTATTCGTTTTTCCTACTGCAGCCTGTGCTGTCCTGAATATTGGATAAGAGCACAGACAGATGTGATGTTCTCCACAATCCACAATGCCTTGCAAACATAAGAATTCAATTTTTCCTAAAGAATCCTTTTTAAATGATAGTCTTTTTTTTCTTTTAAAGTTTTCATAAAGTTTGATGGTTTTACAATTTGATAAATTATATAAGTCTGTCCAATGTGCCAGGGAACATAGGATCTAGCATTTGAACTACCTAGATCCAAATCCTGGATCCACCTCTTGGTTGTGTAATGTGGGTCATGACTGAACCATCCTGAGCCCAGGTTCCCTCATTTGTAAAATGGGGACAATAATGGTTGTGAGGTTGGAGTGTAGCTCACTGATAGAGTGTATGTTTAATATGTGTAAGACCCTGGGTTGAAACCTGAGCATCACCCCCCAATTTTTTGTGTGTGTTTGAAAATTACACAGTAAAATTCCTGGCAGCAGGAGCAGCTTAKTGTTTTCTAGTGTAGTCCCTGATAGCTATTCATCATTTTAGGGAGATAAACCCTGAATGAACTAGAAGGAATAGGGGAAGAACAGATTGTTACACTGAGTCCTGAATCACCACAGGCAAAGGTGACAAAGGCACAAGTACCTAGCGGGCCAAGGTACAGGTGCAGCAGGAGATAGGTTGACCAGATGAGGACAGGAATGCTGTGCTTGGGAGCTCAGGTTTCTCTTCCAGGCAGTAGGAACAGTACAATCAGATTTATTTATTTTTCCTGATTCAAGCCATTTCCCCTTTCCCAATTTGCCTCCTGGGAATTGTAAACCTATCTAGCAATACGATGAACATTTCAGGGCAAAAATCCTATGGTTTAAACACACCATTACCTTCCCTTTGTTGATACAATGCTTTGCTGCAAAAAAAAAAAAAAAAAAAAAAAAAAAAAAAAAAAATTTCAGCTGGTTCCTTGATTGGGGAGGGATCACATGAGTTAATTTACATGATTAAAGTAACTTAAAATGACACATTGTGTACATTAGTATGAACTGTGTTTAAAATCACCAATGGAAACTTTTTGAAGATGTTTCTTGTAGATGGATACATTGCCTTTGGTTGTTGGGCTTTTTCAGTTGTCAATGAATATTTTTATTTATTGGTATGCAGTGCTGAGAATTGAACCCAGTGACTCACACATGCTAGGCAAGCACTTTACCACTGTGCTATGACCCAGTCCCTTTATTTATTTTTATATGGTGCTGAGGATCAAACCCAGTGCCTCACACCTGATAGGCAAGCACTCACTACTGAGCTACAACCCCAGTCCCATCAATGGAAACATTTTAATGGGGACATCTTTTTTTGTAATTTGACACACTGTTTTTCCCATCCATCTTGCTAAGGAGGCAGTATTTCTAGACTTCACAGATCAGACAAAGGCCCCCAAATCACTTGAGATTACAGAATTAGCTCCTTTTATAGAGCATGTACTTGTGTCTTCTTCCAGGGTTCCATGGTTGGGCAAGGGCTCAAAGATACATTAGGATGGGTGTATGGTTTAGATGTGAGGTGTCCCCCCAAAGCTCATCTGTGAGACAATACAAGAAAACTTAAAGATGAAATGATTGGGTGATGAGAGTCTTAATCAATGCATTAATTCCCTAATAGGGATTAATTGGATGGTAACTGTAAGTAGGTGGGGTGTGGCTGGAGGTGAGTCTTGGGGGTGTGCCTTTAGGGTTTATATTTGTCTTGAGTGAAGGGAGTCTCTCTGCTTCCAGGTGTCATGTTCTGAGCCACTGCCACAGTCTTCCACCATGATGTTCAGCCTTACCTCTGGCCCCAAAGAATGGAGTTGGCATTCCATGGACTACGACATCTGGAAACATGTGCCTCCAAATAAACTTTTCCTCCTCTAATTGTTTTTGTCAGGTCTTCTGGTCACAGAAGCAGCACAAAAGGGCCGACTAAAACTAATACCTCTTAGGTGATTCTGGTTTGCAGTAGGGTAGAGAATTAGTATCTTAAATTAGTTTATTTGAGGGACTCCCAAAACCTGTATCTGCAGAGACCTGTTTGGGACCATGGAACTGAGGGGACTTGTTACAGCCAGGCCTGCCACTCATGGGCCACTAGGCAAAGAAAGGGCCTGTGGAGTGATCTGGACTTCCTGGAGATGGTCTGTCCAGCTGGGTCCAGCCACCCAGAGTGCTAAGAGGTGGACACATTATTCTTTGTAAACCTATTACTCCTGGTAATTCACTTACCAAGAATCCCAGGGGTTGTCTCTTCTGAGAAATAAATCAAACAACCACTGAAAAGCCATTACAAAACACAACTGTAAATCCCAGTTACTTTCGAGGCTGAAGCCAAAGGATTCAAGGCCAGTGTGGGCAACTTAGTGAGACCCTGTCTCAAAATAAAATAAAAAGGTCTGAGGATGTAGCTCAAATGTAGAGCATTCCTACATTCAACTGCCAGCACTACAAAACAAAAACTAAACCAAATAGAGGTGTCTCCTACCACAGATGGTCCATGATTCCTGTGAGCTCCCACTTCCACACATTCTCCCTCCATTGAGGGTCAGGGAAAAGGGTCTAGGTGCATGGGTTAGAACCAAGCTATAATTACTAGCTTTAGCTTTTGGGCTCTGAGAATGTCCACTCTCCTGGTATCAGAGCCAAGTGCAGTTAGAAAGACCCAGTACCACACCATGATCCTGGGTGAAATATCAGAACCCAGAGGAGCCAAACCTGGGCTTTGGAGATGGAATCTGCCTGAAGAAAGCTGCGACATGGGGCTGGAGCTGTAGCTCAGTGGTAGAGCGCTTGCCTGGCATGCATGAGTCACTGGGTTGGATCCTCAGCACCACTTTAAAAAAAAAAAAAAAAAAAAAAGCATTCTGTGCATCTACAACTACAAAAAAATAAAAAAGAAAGCCAAGACATGGCTAGGGATATAGTACAGTGGAGATCACTTCCCTAATAGGAACAAGGCCAATGAATTGGATCCCCAGTGGAAGGAAGAAAAGTGGGGAGGGAAGGAAGAGGAAGAGAAAGAAGAAGAAAGGTAGGTGGAAGAACAAACCTCATGTATAGGGCAACTAAGACCTCCACCCGAGGTTCTCAGAATTTTGCTAAATCTGGATGTAAAAATGAGCTTGGAAGGGGGCTGGGGTTATGGCTCAGTGGTAGAGCACTTACCTTGCATGTGTGAGGCACTGGGTTCGATCCTCAGTACCACATAAAAGTAAATGAATAAATAAAACAAAGGTATTATGTCCATCTACAACTATTTTTTAAAAAATGAGCTTGAATGGAGAAACAATTAAAATGCTATAAAACAAGGACCAAGAGAGGATAGGCCCCTGACCCTGTCAAGTGGTGTGAATGAGGGAGGCTGGCCTCAGACACTTAAGTGAAAGAGAAGTGCCACCACAGCAAGCCAGGGCCAGCCAGGCAGGGGGAGGCATCAGCGGACAACAGCATGGAGGTAGCCATGGTGTGGCTGCTGTGGACTGAGCAGAATATCATGAACCAGGATCAAGGACAGCTTGGCTCTCTTCTGTGGCCCTGCCTCATCACTGCTTATAAA